TTATAAAAATAATAATTAAGTATTTTGTTAGAACTAAATGATTATCCTAATTTTATTTTAGATATTTTATATTTAAAAATGAGATGTTTATCATGTATTTGATTATATTTATCTGTAGTTAGTTACACGAATTCAAACATGAAGCTTTAATAAGTTATACGTATACACAATTTACTTGTAATCTTGAATTTTAAGTAATGTGCATCAATGGACAGTACTTTGTGCATGAAAATGGTTTTTAAGAGTTTTTGTCAAATGTTTTATAATATAGTATAAATAAAACCAAGCAGTTTTTTTTATTTTCATTTTTATTGATTAATGTTTAATACTTCTAACCAAACACCCCCTGATTTTATCTCCAAAATTTGGAATTAATAAAGAAAAATATTTGGAGTTAAAGTTTCATTTATAATGATACAGAAAGTAGGTTATTGTAATCGATCTTATTAAAGAATGTCAAATATTTTTGTAAAATGGAACATTTTGTAAAAACACAAGTTTTTAAGGGGTGGAATGTTAAGAAAAGTAAAGTTGAGGGACCGGTAGAGCAAATTTACAAAAAGAGGACACGTAGGAAAGGTACTATGTGAGTACAATATAGTGCGAGGATGAGTAGACTCGTTGACTCACTTTACAGGTTGTATTTGGTTGGTTTGAAAACGTTTTAATAATTCCATTTAATAATTATTAGAAGGGTATTCGTATAATGCAACGAGACATATCTCGATTTTAATGTTTCTATTTTATTATTTATTTCTGTTTATGTTATAATACTATTTTATGTGTTTTTAAGAAAGCAATAATGATGTTATTTTTGAATAAAATATATATTTAAACATATCATAAAAATTTGGAACAAAATAAATTATTTTTGGTTTAATAATATAACATTTTATAAAGATAATAATTAAGTATTCTGTTAGAACTTAATGATAATCTTAATTATATTTTAGATTTTTTATATTTAAAATGAGATGTTTATCTTATATTTGATTATATTTATCTGCATTTAGTTACACGAATTCAGATATGGAGCTTTAATAAATTGTACTTACGCATAATCTACTTGCAATCTTGAGTTTTAAGTAATATGCATTAATAAACAGTACTTTACGAATAAAAAATGATTTTTAAGAGTTTTTGTCAAATGTTTTATAATATAGCATAAATGATTCAGAAAATGTTAATTCATTTAGAATATCTGAATGATTAAGTTTATGAAATATTTTTTCTAATGAAAAATCATTAAATATTTTTTTGGATGATTAAGTATTTAACATCTTTTCAGTAATTAAATTACTGAACTTGTCTGTTATGAAGACTTTAAAGAAAAAAACGTAATTTAATTTGATTCCTATTATGAGTAACGTACTTTCGAAACTTCTATTTTGGTACCTAAGATGTAAAGTTTTAAACATTTAAGTACTCGGGTTTCTGATTGAAGCATTAGCCAGTTATGGACTTAACTATTCAAAATCAGAAAGTTTAATAATTTTTTATTCAAAAAAATTTCAAAAACTTAATCATTTAAAATTAAAAAGTAATCCACATATTTAAAGGGTAGATACAATGTATTACTAAATCATTGTTTTGGTGCATTATGATTTGTTGCAAATGGGTCCACAACTAAAGGCATGATATAAACTACATAACATTCTTTTAAATAAAATACTGATTTTTTTCGGGATTTGATAGAATTTGGAATTAAATCTGATATTAATCTTATGTTTGGTTTAAATAAGTCTGAAATTGAGATCCCGATATTTCAATGAAATCCCACAAACGTAGGAGTTAGAAATCCTACGTGGGTAGTTGATATTTTCACATGATTTCTTGTAATAATGTTTTAAAATATGTTAAAAACACTTGTTTTGTAATAATCAATTAATAAAAAAATAATTTAGTTATTTTTTATTTTTTTTTAAAAAATTATAAATAATGGAATACAATTTCATTTCAAATCCTACAAACCAGACATAACAGAAATTCCAAATTCTTCCACAAAATTCAAATCCTCCAGAATCATTTTGTCATACTTAACGTGCTCTTAGTAGTTGCAGGTCGATCGGTTGAGTTGGTTGTCAATAGGCCTCACTCAACGTCAATCCAAAGTTTGTGGGCTGGCGTAGTACTGTATCAACTAGGTTGTGGGTTACCCTATGTGTCGTTTTATGGGGTCGTGTCGATTTGTCGGGTTGGTTGAGTTGGCTTGTCGGGTTTTTGGGCACCACATGTTCCTAAACATTTTCAAATTGATTTTGATTAAATCATAATACTGAGAATGTAAGATAAACAATATTATTGTTGGTGTTTGTGGGTATAAAAAGAAGAGTACTATTGTTACTGTTTATGATATCTTCAAATTTATATTTTTATTTAAAAATAAAACATTATTGTTTTCTCAAAACCATGTAAAATCCTGTTATATCAACAAGGACAGAGAATAAAACCAGATATTAAAATCGAAATGTATCTCATTGTATTGTACAATTCCTTGATAAAGGAAGTGTGTTTTTGTTTGATTGTACTGATTGATAAATAGCCGCAACTAGTGGGTAATCCATGATTCTGATCTATCAAAATAGATTTTTGGTTGATTGACCCATTAAACGACAATAATTCTTTTCTTTGATTTGTTCCTCTCCACAAATCTAAACAATATTCTCTTTAAATTATGGAGTTGGTCTCTGTAGTTTACTGGTTTTTTCGAAAATGGTTCTTGAACTTTATTTATTACAGATTAGGGCTCCTGGTAATGTCGTTTTGTAACAGATTGGTCTCTCCAGCTAACAGTCATCCAAATTTCTCGGTTAACCTTAAGGGTATTTTCATCATTTTTTTTTTTGTCTTTACTCGAGGGATCAATTTCGTAAAAATCATATAAACCACAGGGATCAAATCTATAATTAAGTCTCAAAAATAAGAAAATATTTTTTTATACTTTAAGTTTATTAAATTGATTATTTATTATACTAAGTTTGATTTTAATATACAATATATTTTTTAATCACAAAAAGAGAGTGAAAAAATATATCAATATTGTGTGATTTATTTCGCTCGATTTTGTTTATATTTCGTTTTCTTCAAAAAAAAGTGAGAGGCGGTGAAGTTTTTTTAATTGAAAAAATATTGTTATAAATGTTCATTGAATTATATTCATTGAATTAAATAATCTAATAATTTGTGGAGGCGGCTTTCCTTTAAATGGTTGAATCTCACTACATACATACATATATATATATATAGGGTTGAGTTCATGTGAAACCAAATGTTTTTCATGAGACCCGTAAGACCAATTTATGTTCATTGGTCAACTTTATAAACTAATGATCTAATGATCAAAAGTTGCACGGTGCCAATTTTGTGATTATTGATAAGTCTCATGGCAATTTTGTAATTATGAATGTTCAAATTGTAGATCTAATCCAATGGTTGAGAATTGGTCTTACGGGTCTCACGAAAAACCGTTGGTCTCACATGATCCCAAGTCATATGTGTGTGTGTGTACGAGTGAGTGTATATATGGAGGAGGTTTACTTTGCAAACCATTTATTTTATACAAACCTTACAAACTAATCATATTCATCCATATCATATTGAAGACAGGGAAGGGCAAAGCGGGAAAAACATGTTCTATGAACCTGTTTCATTATAGTTGTTATACATATGAACCTGATGCAATCATATATGACCTATAAACCTGTTTCATTACAGTTGTTTTACATATGAACATGTTCCATTACGAACTGTTATACATACCTATGTTTTTTTCCATTATTTTACTACGTTAATTAGTTTTATAGGTCATAATGATGTATCTAACATGTTTTAGAAAGTCGAAGGAGTTATTTAACATGTTTTGAAATGTCCAAGGACTTATTTGTTTCAAAAAATTGTCCAAAGATTTAATCATTCCAAACACTAAAGTCCATTGGATTTTTTTAGACTTTTCCCGAATATAAATTAGTTTCATTACAGCTGTTATACATATGAACCTAATCCAATCATATATGACCCTGTTTCATTAAACAGTTTGAGTTTGTTTCATTGGAGATTACCATGTTTCAGTGATGATAGTAAGTATCTATTAAAAATTTACCTATTTCAAGATTATTATAAAAACAAATTGATTAATCATTTCTAAAAAACCTTTAATCTATATAATTTTTCCGATTTAGACACAATTAAAATGTTACTAAAATTATTTATTATAAAGTCAAATGACAATCATATCCTTATAAATTAAAAATAAAGAAAATTAAATAAAATTATGTTATTGGTTGATGCTAATTTGTACAACAAAAAACAGTTTGTATTCGATCACTTCTCTATATATATGTATGTATATATATGTGTGTGTTTGTGTATATACATATGTATCTATGTGTGCTACGCACACGTAATACATATTTTTTTTGAAAATTTAAATTATATATTAAAATTAAACTTAAAATATAATAATTATATATATTAAAGTTTAATAATTAATTAGTTTAATAAACGTTCACAATTTGTACAAACGGATTAATACACCGCCACAACATAACTTTAACCATTAAAACGACAACCAACCAAACATTCCCTTGGTGTAGCTTTTGAAATGATCTGAATATGACAAAGAAATTCTATTCATCGTGAGACATGCAAATAGATGTATGATGAATCATAAACGTTATATTATGATTCTTTTATAAATAAAAGCAAAAGAATTGTAACGGATAATCAGTTATGAGTTATAACAATGGAAAAACTAATCAACAAAATGGTAAATAAGGAGCGAGGATGATATCATCAATAATTGTAAATTACAAAAGAAATTTGTTCAACTCATTTTTGTATTTATGTTTCCTACTCTTTTTTCAACTCGGGACGACTCAGTCTGAGTCAAGTTACAATTCATCTTTGCCGTCTCGCAAGCAAAACACACACACACACACTAGCCTCACCAACTCAACTACTTCGAGACAAGGAAAGAGGTGAAAAGTATTGAAAAAATATGCTCTAACCACTTCTAGTCATAAAAAAAATTTAGAATAGTAGTTAGATTATCAAACTCGGACCGAGTTGACTCAGTGACTAACTCGCTACTAACACTAGAGCAGCATATAGAATATATATTTAACACACTCGTCCATGAAGGAGCGGCTTAGATTCACCTACATAATCCACGTGGCAACATCTCTGAAAATCCTCGAGATCAACGAGACATCTCGCCTTTTTGTTATTATCAAGCTCCGGCCGAGATACGAACCAGAGGATCTCTTCGAACTCCGATTCTTCACACGGAATCATCAGCGGACCGGTATTCGTGAAGCCGTATTCTTCTTCGGCGTCCATCAGAAGCTTCTGGAAAACCGGATGATTCAAGTACGACGCTCGCACGATAAACCTTCTGCAATTTGCTCCGACGCAGATCGCTACGTGTCCTGCCGGCACATCGCTTGCGATGAAACGCCGAGAAGATGAGGACGAGGACGAGGATCTCCTCCGCCAACGGCGGAGCATCTGTCGGACTCTAACAATGTGATGAATCCTGCTGGATTTCTCAATCGCCGCCGGTGACATATTTGCCGTCGTAGTCGGAGAGAGCGTTCTACTTAACTCTGTGTGTGTAGGTTATCTGTTTTTGGTTTGTGTTTCCGTTTAAAAAGGAGAAGTCAGTTTTATAGGACTCTTATCGTGTGTAAAAGGACGAAACTACCCCTAGGGTTTGAGATATTTACATTAGATTATGTTGTTTGCCATGTGACGGAAGGCTACTGGTCCCCCGTTCAGTCCCTTTTTTTTTTTTTGCTTTCAAAGGAGTACTTGTAAAATTATTATTTAATATTTTAAATAATTATCCGATTTTGATGTTTTATTGAGAGACCGTTTATTAAACACTTATCTTAAATATTTATCTTAAGTGGTGTTTGGGATGACTTATTTTCAGTGTTTTTTTATTTATTTTAGTCCGACATTGGTGATAAGCTAAACGCTAGTGTTCGGTTGAGGAAAAATAAAACTGTTTATACCGGTGTCAAATCGATAATAAGCAATTTTTGATAAGTTAATCATTCCTGACTTATGAAAAACTGTTTATTATCAGCTTACCATTTTAATTCTGTTTTATTAATGTTTGTTAATTATTGATCTTATTGATATAATTTTTTGTCAAAGATATTATTATAAATGATGAAAAATAAATTTTTACATATTAAAAAATCAAATAAGTTAATAAGCAATCTCAAACACTCTCATAAGTCAATAATATGGAAGACTGTCTTTTTCGGTCATTTCACATATATAAGCAAAATTTGTCAAACACTAAAAAACAACTTATCAGCTTATTGCTTTTTGGTACCGCTGTAAACTAATCCAAACACTTTTTACAAAACTGTGGTTTAATACCAGATAAGTTAATAAGCACTTTTACAAAAAAACATAAGTTGTTTTAAATAAGCAATCCAAAACACCCCCTTAGTAAATGTTTACTGGTTTAATTATTTTATCTGGTGAAAATCTAATCAAGTAAGAAAGAAGTCAAAGATCGAGAGTCATATTCAGTAAATGAGGATAATGACCTTACCTGGTAAGAGTTTGGCAGGTTTAAGACATTTACCAACAATCCATTTTGATGACAAAAAATGTTACACGTTAAGATAAGTAAGGTTGATGTCTAATGTCGATAAACACTTATCTGAATATTATAGCATTTAATAAGTTATAATGACGTGAATTACTTCACATCTTTTCGTTTAAAGTAAGTGTTCTTGATTTTTCGTTCGTATTAATTTTCTGCAATATTATAGCATTTGTCACCTGGAGTCTTGCTAATTCACAGGGGTCATGCAAAGCATCGGTTGACATGAATCAGACAAAACAATCACCCCCTTTTGGCGATGCAAATTTGGTTGTTTCACGAGGATTTGAACCCAGATGGCCTTTCCAAATCTGGGTCGACCCAACAAAAACATCTCGTCAAACGTCAGACGCAAGGTTGAATTGTCGTTGTGTCCCCTTTGGAGGTTTCCGCAACAAATAATCAAAAATGTCATAATGTAAAACTTCAGTTCTAGATTTTCAGTAACAACAATATTGTACAAATTATGAAATACAAACGCAACGAAAACAATACCCAATTACCCATATTCCAAAATACTGCATTTTTAAAAAAATTCAGTAAGAATGAATAACTGCGTGTAACGAAAAAAACTAGTTGTTTCGAAAACAAATATTGGTTGGGTGAAATTACAAAATTGCCCTTTGACACTTTATGTGATGGAATAAAAACTAATTGATTAACAAATACAAAGAGTAAAAGCATTATTCAACAAATATTCTGTTGCGGAATTTTTCTCGAAGAACACGTACACACATGTACTCGTTCATGGAATCTCACGATCTCAATCATAACAATCGATTATTATTTTTGGGAATCCCATGAGTCAGGAAACCACTAATTGGTTCGTCACAAAAGCAATGGTTGTGATCAGTGGTCAAATTGTGTTTTTCTAATCTTGATTTTGATTAGTATTTTTTTGAGTCACTAAATGGATGCTTGTCTTTTAGTATTGATGGTTCTCCTCTTATCGTTTATTCATATTCTTTCTTTTTTACTGCACTTACGTACATAATGGAAGTGCTATCGTTTATGTTTGATTTTATTCATTTGTGAATAATCAGTCTTTGGTCTAAGCTTTAAAGCTAGTTTAGTTGAAGAAAAGGGTGTTTTTTTATAAACTTTATCTATACTATATTATAAAGCATTTGACTAAAACTCTTAAAAACTCTTAAAAACTCTTAAACGCGTTCATCCCTAAACGATTTCATCCCTATCCGATTTCATCCCATATCTGAATTCGTGTAACTAACTGCAGATAAATACAATCAAATACAAGATAAACAACTCATTTTAAATATAAAAAATCTAAAATATAATTAGTATAATAATTAAATTCTAACGGAATACTTAATTATTATCTTTATAAAATTTATAATATTAAACCAAAAATAAATTGTTTTATTATTAAACTTAAATTAAATTATATATATATAAAATATATTATATATTATAAATCATTTGACAAAAACTCTTAAAAACCACTTTTTATGCGTAAAGTACTGTTTATTAATGCATATTACTTAAAACTCAATATTACAAGTAAATTGTGCGTATGTATAACTTATTAAAACTTCATATCTGAATTCGTGTAACTAAGTGAAGATAAACACAATCAAATACATGATAAAATCTCATTTTAAATATAAAAAATCTAAAAAATATTTAGGATAATCATTGAGTTCTAACAGAATACTTAATTATTATCTTTATAAAATATTATATTATTAAACCAAAAACAAATTATTTCATTATTAAAC